ACATCTGGCCTGTTCCCCAGCTCTTGTATGCATAAATAAATAAATCTTTTAAAAAAAAAGAATCTAAGCTTATAAGAAGTTGAAACTATTCTATAACATTTTAATGGCCATTCTAATAATTATGGTCATGGAAATAAAGGAAAAACCTCTCCACATTTTAAAGATTTCTCATTTCTTGGAGTGTCTGCAAGGAATCTGTAGGTAGAAGCAAAGATGACTGTAGAGAGCAGAGGAGCAGTGATAAAGAATACAGGATGGAGGAGACAAAAATCAGACAACGGCCTCTTTATAAAACACTTAGAGGGTTTTCCCCACACCAGTTGTCTGGCTTAATGCTAGCTGTTCGTTTGCTCCCTTCTGTGTTATTTACAAATTTAAAGTGAGGTCAACCCTTCCTGTTTTCATGTAGTTTACCATTGTAGCTGCTAGTTAGCTAAAGGAGATTAACTCTTCGTTTCTAGGGATCCAGTTGGAATGGGGTGGCATCCTGGGGGTTACTCCCCAGGGGTAATGCACATCTGTTTTTCCCCAGGTAGGGAGGGCCTTGAATTGGATGCTACTTACTCTCACCAGTAAAAATTCCGTAATTCCACAGTAAGGCAACAAAAGACTTCTGGGCTTCTGACGCTGACAACTGCCTAGACTAGATACTCTAGTTCAACAGGGCGGGGTGTTTTCACCTCTAGTGGAAATCTTGGGTGGGTGATATAACAGGCCCTGCTGTTTCGTTTTCAGAACAAGGGAATTAGTTGGAAGGAAAAGTCCAAAGGGCTCTCTGTGAAGGAACAAGGGTCTGTGGGACAATGCTGGGGCTCATTTCCCTGGGGTCTCACTCCGAGAAGACCCTTTGAGGCCCTGCAGTCCTCCCAAAGGGCCCCGGGAGAACATCTATGCATGTGAGGTGAGCTGAGGAAGGAGGATAGTCTTGCAGGAGGACAAAATCCATCAGGAAGATGGGGTAGGGAGGTGCTAGCATATAGGCAGAAGGTCCTGGGTGGATCTTTCTCAGCCAGTACAGGTAAATCTGTCCCTGAACTCCGGGCAAAGAACAACTTTGTGGAAAAGAAAAGGAAGCATGGAGTTTTAGGCCCAAATCAGTAAGTTTAGGAAAATTCCTTGCGAAGTTAAAGGTTTGGAGACAGAAAGGGGTATTCTGTGCTGTAGGAAAGTTCCAAGTGTCCATACCTAAACCTCTTCCTTTTCCTGGTTCCTCACTGGACACAACCCTGGGGCATCTCTATCTCTCTTCTGGCTAACCCCCAAGTCCTGTCATCTCTTCTTCCTAAGTCACCTTCACATCCCTCCCCCTTCCTCCATCCCCACTACTGAGTCCTGGTCCAGGCCCTGTCTTTCCCTGACCTCCCATAGCAGCTCTTCCCTGGCCTGCTTGTCTACAGGCCTGCCTCCATGGATCGAGCTTCATGCTATAGCCAGAGGGATCTTTCTAGAACACAACCTTCTCCAGCCTCCTTGCTGGCCTCCCTGCCTCCATTCTCAACCCTGTTGATCCAAGAAACCTAGGGGAATTTTTCTGTAACCCCACCCCTAGCATCACCTTTTATCTTACCCCTCACCCCACCAGCTTTTCCTGGCTTTTAGGATGAAGTCAACACATTCTATAAGTCCCCCTTGAGATCTGGTCTCTGCTCAGCCTCCTTTCCCTCCACTCCTCCTGCCCACAAACCTGACTTGCCTGTCTCTGGGACTCACATGCTATCCACTGGACGCACTATGCCCTGTCCACACAGCTAAGCCAGCTGTGCCTGCTCTCTGACAGAAGTCCTTCTGCCTTACAGCTGAGCCAGAGGCACCTCCTCTGGGAAGCCTCCCAGGCCTTAGTCTCAGTCTGAATCACGTGTCCCTCATTTGCAAGATTACTAGAGTGTCCTTGCTTTCTTGTTTCTCCTGAAGGTCTTTCATCTCTGTCTCCCTGGGCCCAGAACATTGCCTGGCAAATAGTAAGCACCCAATAAATTTCAAATCGAGCATATGTTAAGTTCTCCATAAAACCTCAGCCATGGCAAATTCTGCCACCCATCTGGGGGGGTTCTCCTGGCAACTCCTTCAGTTTTCAAAAACAGGACAATCCTTAGATTTTGAGCAGGAAAAGGTCTATCTTGGCTTTTCATCTGCAGAATAACTTCAACTTTAGAAGCTTCAATTTGTAGTGGCATTTTTTTTTATTTACCCAGTAAAACCTCAACAATTACCATCTGTGCAGAACCCTGAGCCTCCTCTATCCTAAGGAATCCATCTACTTAATTGCAATGCTGAGCGAGGGAAGCTGCTTGTCCAAGGATGCAAAGAAAACTGACAAATGTTGCTGCTACTTTTCCTTTGCCGCTCAGATAAAACAATCATAGTGTGGAAGGAGGGGCTTCTTCTTGGTGGGGGGTGGGGGTTTGGGGGAAGAGGAACTTCTTTCTAACCACTGTGTCCTCCTCTACCTCTATCAAGCTCGTGTGGCTCGGGTCTCTTCTGCCCAGAGCTACCAGGACCTGCAACAAGAGACTTCTTTTCAAACTTCTTAAGACAGGCTTATGCAATCAGTGCCAGCACAACCTCTATACCCCTAGATGACAGAATTCACTACATATTCCCAGCCTTGCCATGACTGAACTTTCCCTCCACAGCATCATGCTTGATGGCTACATGTTCAGAAACAGTCCTCACTGCAGGTCCCTGTTTCTTAGTTATTGTCATTTATTCCCATTCATCCTGTGTGAAAAATACTCCCCCATTCCCGGCCCCCACCCTGTATCCTCTTAAGTAAATAAGTAACATTTCAGGGTGATGTCGGAATCTTGAAGAGTTAGGGTCATTTTTAAGTAGTATTTTTCAGAATTAGTTTTATTTCTGGCTCTAAGGTAGACTCTGCTACACCACTTAGGAGCTTGGGGATGGATGGCACTGTATTTGAGGGAGCCTCTCAAATACATTTAGAGATGTGAGCACATCTCTAAAATTCCAGTTCAGGTGTTACATAGATGAAGATAACCTCTGCGAAGGGCTTGACCCAGCCTGTGGAATGTGTGTGACAGCCAGCAAATCATCATGCCTTTTGTCTCCTTCACTTCCATATTCAATCCCTGCCCCCAGAATGGCCACATCCTAATAGACTTATTTCCATACAAGGATTTACGTGCAAACCTTAAGATGGTCAACCTTAAAAAAAAGAAAAGAAAAAAGAAACATTAAAATAGTTATTTGTACAAACATTGATTACACTCATTCACTACTCTGCACAGCCCCTGACAATCTTTAAATTCTGTTCAGTACAAGGTCTCCCCACCACCCCCCCAGCTGTCTCCTCCCCACTCCTGTCCACACCTGTGCCCTGAGACACCCTCAGGAAGCACAGGGCTGCTTGACCCAGGGAGATTGGCTCCACTCTGCTTGTTCCCCAAGGAAATTGCAGTGAAAACACAAACAGCAAGCAGAACAGGCTGAAAACCCTCTTCACCTCTGCTTAACCTGGTGTACCCTTGATATATTTAATTGTGGGCCCATTTGTGAACCTCTCACCAGGAAACTGAGGTTCACAGAACCCATCTTGGAGATGACCCTGTGGCTTGTCTACAGGCTGTCATCCATTCCGTCATTACAGTGTCTTGGGTGCCAGCGCTGCCTGACGTAGGGATGTCCATAATAACCTCCATGTGCCCCAAAGAAGTAGGTGCTGACGCTCTGTTTACTGACCTGGAACCCTTTCCAGGATGTTCGCTGAGTGAAGAGAGCCAGTGAGTTGTGAGCTACCCTATGCCCGTACATGCTCAGACCAGTAGGTACCCCAGAATTGACAGGCATGTCTGCCTCTGGAGAAGGGTGCTGCATGTCAGGGAGAGGGAGGAGCAGGCTCACTGTGCACTCTTGGGAACTTTAGGACTGGCTAATGTTTAACAGAGCACTTTTTTTCTGCTCTAGACTCCACTAAACTGAGGACTTGACTTGACTCTGTGCATGCCCTGTGTTGGCCTCTGCCTGCTTCAGTCACTCCCTGACAGGCTTCCTCCCCACTCCCCTGCCCCTCTGATGACAGAGGCAGAGCAGGAGGGGACTCAGCTCTTTGGTGCTGCTTCTCAGACTCATGCCCGCTGCCCTGGCCCACTTCACTGGGAAACCCATCTCCCATATAACATGCTGTCCTAGAATGTGGGACTACCTACTCTTCACTCCTGCCTCTGACTCTAACTTAGGAGCCTGGGGCTCCCAGAGGCCCAGGGTGGTGTTGACAACTTATGCAAAAAGGTCAAGAACTGCAGGGTTAAACCAATGTCACTCGGAGTCCTGTCAGTCTTATACTCTAGGAACTTGACCTTGCGCTTTCATTTTCTTTTTCTGGGCAATGGAGGATAATAAACCCCAGCTCATGGGTTTGGGGGTGCTGCTCATCTCTCTAGAGCACCTAGCACTGTGCTGATTTGCTTTCTTCCCTGCCCTCACCCTCTCCTGTTGTGACTACCAACCCATCATTCCCTTGGGTCTTAGAGTCCTTGGGTTTCAAAGAAAACACAAAGTTACAGTCAGACTTTGGTTCCTGGCTATACTGATGACTGCCCCTGGGAAGATGCCAGGTTCCTCCATGTCCTCAGGTCTTCACCCCAAACGCAAGGTCCATATGAATCTCAGTGCTGAAGAGCTTTGATCATCAAAACACAAATGCAGAGGGTTAGCACTGCTCTGAGGATGTGGAGCTCTGCTGCCGCCAACGAACTTTTAAGAATATTTGGGAGATGAGTAATGTCTCCCATATGCTAAGGAGGGGTGATTTAGCACCACACAAGGTAAAACAGAGAAACCGTACTCATTAACAGAGTGACCTTGTACAGCACATTAACTGCCCTCTGCCTCAGTTACCCCTTGGGAAATAGGACAGTACTGACACCCTACCTCCCAAGGAGAGGGGTGTCCTGTGAGGAGCACGTGGGAAGGTCCTTGTCGGCTGTGACACTCTCTGTCAGGCAGCTTCAGTGATTAACGCACATTTGTTTCTTGTTCAGCGGCGGGTGCAAGACGTCATCAGTCCCATCGTGTTTGAAGCTGCCTACAGCCTGGGAGAGCATGTGGTTGGAGAGGAGGTGAGAGAACTGCCGGCTCTGACACCAGTGCTCCGCTGGAAAAAGGGAGAGAAGATTGCCCAGAAGAATCAGGTAAAAGTTTCCTGCTCACCACTGGGTCCTGAGGCAGGGGGGCAGATGGCGGATATAAGGATGGGGAGTGGAAGAGCACGGTGGGTCCTGGCTGCCTGGGAGACTGTGGCCAGGGCACACCCTCTCTCTACACCTCACTTTCCTGATCTGGAAAGTGATGAAGTATATGATTAGGGAGGTTGCTTCTAAGAACCACATGATTTGTCACACATTGAGACAATTCTTGTGTGGTTAGAAAGTGATGATGCATTTGAGGTCATGAACTGGCCACTGAGTCCCTGACTTGTCCCCTTTCCTCGACTGTTTTCCAGAGCTCTTGTCAGCATATAGTAGGTGCTCAGTGCTTAGTTTATCAGTGGGGGTGTATGTGGGTGAAGAAGCAAGAACATCACCTTGCTCCAGTTGGTGGCTGAGTTAGAAATGCCCCACCCACGCATCCCTTGGAAGTCAGAGACTGGAGTGCAGATGAGGCACATCCTGCCTGGCACTCAGGGCCTCCTGGATGTGCTGCTGTCTGGAGGAGCTCTGAAGTGGTATTGGGTGCAGGCCACATGAGGCCAAATGAGGTGGGAGTGAGCCTAGGAGTTGACTTGGACAGTAGCACCAGCCTGTCTGCCCTGTGCCATCTGTGGGATTTGCAGTGCTAATGGCCGTGCAGGAAATAGGCAAGGAATCTATGACCCTAAGTCTGTTTTAAGTCTTTCCTTAACACCCAAGATCACCACAATTCTGGGATCCTGGGGAGGGTTAGGAGAAACTATTTTTGACTAAGCCAGACTCCTGTGCAGGGTGGAGACAAACTGGCGCAATCTGCTAGCCCCACCCATCAGGTTCTTCTAACTGCTTTGAGTTTAGGGGAAAAGTAGCAGGTCAGTGACCCACTGATTGGAGATTAGAGTTGCAGAGAGCTGCAGAGAAGTATATCACGATATCCACCCAGATGTTCAATCAAGTAGGGAGATTTTTACCAAGTTATCCCCATTTTTTTTCCCAAATTCTCTCCCACATGGTCTTGGGTCGGGCTTCCTAGAAGCAGAGCCTGAGACAGGGATTTGGAATCACATCAAGTGAGGTCTCCAACCTATAAAGAAAGAAGGGAGGGGGAAGGGGCTTAGCCAGCATGTGGTCTCAACTAAAGTCTAGCTCTGACCTGAGCTGGGAACCCCGAAGCATTAGTTACAGTAAAGTTGTGCTCTGCTTGAGTCAGGGAGCTGTTTTTGTACCCCTTCTTAACCATTGGCTGGTGTGTGAGGTGTGGAAGAAGAATAAAACTCTCCCTGAGGGAGGTACCGTTCAGCAGAGGACAGTTGTCTGGAGGGGATGCAGATGGAGCCATTAGCTGCCAGCACTCACATCAGCTGTGGGGTGGGACAGCAGTGAAAAAGGGATCTGACCAGGGCTGGCAGTGGATTCAGAGAGACTGCAGTATGGCTAGGCCAGCAGTTAAATAGGGGTCCAAGAGTGAGAAGTGGGGCTGAAATGGAGAGGAGCACTAAGTAGTGGTTGACTTTCTACAGAAGCCTGTCCTGTCCCTGCATACTTCAGGCATGCAGAATAGCAATCAGCCAGCATTCTTCTCTAAGGAATTGAATAAGCCACTTGACATGGTGTGGGTGGGCTGGTTCCCCAGAGGGAAAAGCCCTGCTACATTTGGTATTTGGCAACTCCAGTGTAAGAACTGGCTCCCCTCCCACCATCTACCCAACACATCCACAGGTTTCCCACTAAGTCCTTATCCTTCATTCTAAATTATAAATGGAAAACCAAGGAAACCTAGGATTGGGGGAGAAATGTAGCGTGTGGAAAAAACAACCAAAATAATTCAACATAATAACTAACTTGGAAGTAAATTATCCAGGAAATGGAAGAGATGATAATCTGTTAAAAACCACCTTAAACTCCATGTAGTAAGCATGAGATGTAAGACAGTGTTCCATCCATTGGAAAATGATTGAATTCTATTTCTTTTTAAAGGGAAGAATAAGAGAATAAGGAAAGGGTTCTTGAAAATTAACAATGTGCTTGCAGAGCCAAAAATCTAGTAGAAGTATTAGAAGATAATGGTAAGAAATTTCTCAGTAAGTAGAGCTTAAAAGACAAATAGGAAGGCGAATTAAAGGATAAATCTACAAGGTCCTATATAGAACTAATAGAAATACCAGAAAAAATAAAATGAAAAAGAAACTAGAAGATGATAGAATAAAAGTCCCCAGAGTTAAAAAAGAAACATTCTTTTTAATAATGGATAAGCCAAAATGTCTTTGATAAATCATTTTGAAACATCACTGCTGTTAAGATTTATAGAAAATTCTAAATACTTCCAGGACAGGAAGTACAGTATAGTGGTAGTGGAGGTTTTATGTCAGCATACAAGATAACTAGAATCACACTAAGTAATCTCTTAGACTCCTTGAAACTAGAATTTTATACTTAGCCCAATAATGAAGAATGAAGTCACAATAAAGTCACTTTTCAGAAAAGCAAGAATTGAGAACCTCTCTAGTGACTCTTTCAAGGAAATTACCTGAGATCACACCAAATAAAACAAGAATGGTACTAGAAGGGACAAGATGTAGGATACCTGACACTGGAATTACCAGAAGTCTGATGACAACAAATCTCAGGATGACATCTATGCAGCAAGTATAAAAAGCAGTAGATCAGTTGAAAGCAGGGACCAATGAACTTAAAAAAAAAAAATGAAGCTAGCAATGTACAGATGACTTAGTAGCAAACATGCAGGATATAGTATAAATGGAATATATTTCTGCTATGGATAAGAAAAAATAGAGGCAATCAAAAACTTCCAGAAAGATAGAAATAAAGTCATTATGCCTTCTAGTATAAAACAAAATGTCAAGAGAAATTGAGCAAATTCAAATTTAAAGAGTATAAAGAATAGAAGAGGAATATATAGAATATAAAGGATATATAGAAGAAGAGTATATAGAGTATAAATAATATAAAGAAGAATATGAAGAATAGAAGAGCCTTAATACTAGAAATATCCTCCTTTAAGTAAAGGTTTAATTTTCTAGCAGTTTAACTTTGCACCTTAAAGAAGACTGTGTAATCGCAACACTTGTCTTGGCTCTATTGTGAAAAAACAACCATGAAGCCATAACAGTAATGCTCCTTAAAAAAAGAAAAAAATTATATGTGTATATATATACACACACACACACACACACACACACACACATATATATATAAACAAAATAAACCCTTTAATGCTTTTTAATTGATTTTCAGTATTTACAGTCAAGCCTAAATCAGAGTCATGGTTAGTGTGAGATATAAACATCATTAAATTGACTGTATAGAGGTTAAAATAGAATGACAGAAGGCCTTGTAATCACTTAATCTCTAAAATTGATGAGTCAAGAGCTATTGCAAAACTTGATAAAATAAGAAATAGGTGTTTATTACTTAAACTTGCAGAGGCCACCAGTAGAGCAGTGTTTCTTAAAGTGTGCTCACTGAACAAGCAACATCAGCCTCTCTTGGGATCTTATAAGGAATGAAAATTCTGGGTAATATCTCAGGCCTGTTGAATCAGAAACACATGAGGTGGACCTCAGCAAAACAGGTGATGCTGATACAGCCAATGTTTGAGAACCATTGCAGTAGAAGAGCTAAGAGTAATGGTTTGCCTGTCAAAATTAGGTCAGTGGAAGAAAGAGGACCATTGTGAGATCACTTCTTGTTTCTCATGGCAGGAATTCAGTAAGATAAACTTCTAAATCTGATAAAGCAAGAAGTATTATAAAGTAGTATCGGCATGCTTTCTAGAGATGTGTGAATAATCAAGAACAGAACCATAAATGGGCATGGGTGCTAGTGGTGGCCTTAGAGACAAGATTCAGTACAGGGAGGTATGTAGCAGGGGGTCATTATTGTTTTAACCATGTGATTCTTTGGTTGAAATTAAAATGAAAGAAAAATATTGTTCTTAGTTTGGGAAGATTGTCCAGGAGCCTGAGAAAATGTCTGGGGGAGTGAACTTTGCTTATTCTCCTTTTCCTGATTATGGGAGAGAAAAAAAAGAAGGTAATTTAATGATCTCCCTCCATGTGTCTTCCAGATGTTGGCTCAGTTTGAGAAAGATTCTGAGAGTTAGGCCCTCTCCAGGAAGCAGAACTGGTTTTTAACCTGTGTCTTTACAAATCGCAGTGGCACAAAGCATCAAACCTTTTCCATAGGGAAGAATAAACTCATGGGAACTCCTTAAGACGCAAAGGCAAATAACATTGGGGTCAAATTCTTTTAAATGCCTTAGTCTCATCAACTAAAAGGCACTGAGCCCATGGAGGTACAAGTCGCCTTCATTCACAGCATTGTCATGAGGATAGAATGAGGCAGTCCATGGGATCCCATAGAGCAGAAGCTCCACTGAAGTTGTGTGAGTCTCAGCTGGTCATTGGGTTGGCACCATCGAAGGCTCCTTCCTCAGATGGGCCTCTCATGATCTATTGGACTATCTGGTTTGTCAGGACCAGAGATGCCCCTTTGTCCCAGAGGAAGAAGCTATGGAAATGACCCATATAACCAGAATGGGAGAGCCAGCTCCGCTACCAAAAAGACAGATGGGGCATGGATCCCTCCTCTTTATCCCATCTCTGTTGCCACCAACCATTTATAACCTGTACCAGGTCATTTCTGTGCACAATCCTTCCTCTCCAGTTTCCTTCTGCTCTTACAGGAAAATCCAGACTCTTGCTAAGACCCATGAGACCTTACATCATGGGACCTCAGATTCCAGCATCATCCACTGCTGCCTACCTTCTGCACTTCAGCCACTCTCAAACTTACCAAACCCTTTCTTGCCTCGGGCCCTTTGCACATACTGATACTTTTATAGAATTCTTTGTCACGCTTTCCTTGGAGCCAGTTCCTCATTCTTTAGGTCTCAATCTAAATATCACCTGCTTAGAGAATCATCCCTCAACTACCCTGTATTCCCTGGCTTAGTTGACTGATTCCTTCATGACACCTATAGC